TGCAGGAGGTTTCAAATTTACACATTACCCTGTTATTTCACCATTCAGCCATGGTTTAGATGACGAACCGATAGAAAATAGAAAACTTTTTCATTCATCATCCTCTGAAGATGAAGAACAAGATCAACAAAAAATAGTTAAAAAAATAGTAGCTGAAGTCATATCTTCTTCTTTAGATGATAAATCTGACGAATCTAAAATCTCTGGTACCGATTTTGATCTTAACAAAATAAGATCAGAAATGAAAGGACTTATGCCAACTTCATCAAATTGTAATAATGATGTAATTCAAACTAAAGAATCGTTCATATTGGATAAACAAATAGAAATCGAAGAACCTATTGAAAAAATTAATGAACCAGCCCCAGACGATGTTTATGAATTCAAAGAATCCGAATCATGCAATCTTGATACTATTTCTTCAGTCACCGAAGAAAAGTTTTGTAGATCTATTAGACATGATTCACCAAAGGTATTGAACTTAGAGAAATCAACTGAACTACCAAAAGTCATTGAATCTACAGTACAAGAAGAAGTAGTTGAACAAAATAGGTCCCCAAAACCATTTTTGCCTAACAGCAATAACGTGTATTCATTTGATGATAATGTTGAGATAAAAGATAATGAAAATTTGAATATTATAAATAAAAATGAAAATCCAATTTCTAATAATCAACTTGGCAATGAATCTAATGAGTCCCAAAGTTTAATAATAAATGATGTTACAGTTGATACCACATATATTAAAGAAATCGATCATTCTCAGGATGAAACATGTCATGAGGTTAATGTATCCGATATTAAAAATGAAGTATTGGATCTATGCATGAAACCACCTGAATCGCCGCCTAATAATATATTTAGTATGCCAGAGCCAAATGAAGTAAATAACATGATTGTTGAAGAAGATGATGATGATGAAGATGACGATGAATCAAAATTAGTTATAGCTGAAAATGATAAAATTGAAAGTGATTATCAAATGGATACTGATATGGTAGTTATTAGCGAAGATCATAATTCTTCCAATGGACAAATTAATGAAAACATACAAACACAATCCTTGCCTCCTTTGCCACCAAGTGTACATCCTAATATTGAATTAGAGTTCAAAAGTTCTTGTCAAGTAAAAAAAGATATCATTATATCTAAAGATACAGATGATGAAAGTACTACGTCCTGTAATGAAAGTATTCAAAATGCTCTCATTCAAAGTTTCCAAAAATATTCACATTTTGAAAACGATTCAAGTAAAAATAGACTTTATATGGACAATATTGACGACAATACAAAATCTGGTTTTGAATTTGATTCAAATTCAAAATCACCAACAATTGAAAACAAAGAAATCGTTAAATCTGCTCCTATGCTTCCAATTAATGAACCTTTGAATGATGATGAGCCTAAAAAAATTGATTTTGAAGTTGAAAATGTTAATGTTAAATTTGAGAAAGAAAAACCTACAGCGTTACCAGAATTACAATGTAGAGAAGAAATAGTAGATGAAGATACTCTTAATAATGCTTTAGTTGTAGAGTACAATCGAAAAGTTACAGATTATGACATTCATAAGCCTAGCACCAGTAAAGGTTTCTTTGATTCGATACATCAACCAAGTACAAGCAAGGATTGTTTCTATAAAAGTGACACTAATAGTGACACAAAAAATAATTTCTTTGAAGCTAGACAAGCAGTCAAAAGTGTTACTTTTGATACAAACATCCCTAACAAAAGTAGTTTATTTGATCCCAATATTCCAAGTTGCAGTAGCAAAGATTTCTACGATCATAATATTCCAAGCACTAGCAAGAGCAGTTTTTATGAGAACTCTTTGCCTAGTACTAGTAAAAGTTTTTATAATCCAGAATCTGATGTAAATAGTGTACTATTTTGCGAAGAAACTATACCGGGTAGTCCAACTGGTACGTCAGAAGAACAATATGATCAAGAAGAAAGAAAAAAAGCTCTTCAAGCTCACTATGAAGAAAGAGAAGCTGCTTCAGCAATGTATGCTATGAATCAATCTTTTCGTAGACCAATGATTACTTTGATGGGTGCTACTGAAGAAGAGATGGAAGAATATTCTAATATTCTTCAAAAGTAAGTTTATTTTATTATAATATCATATAGTTTTAAGAAGAATTGCAGATATCATAACCACTTATTGTATTGACTTAATTTCATAAATGAGCAAATAGTACATTTGAATTCAATAGTTCCAATTATGTGTTCCAAAATTAGGCTTTAATATAATAGTAAAAGTAAAAACATAATTTGTGTTCTCTCATTGATTTATTTACCAATATTTTTTAGTGATGAACATTTTTAAATATTAATATTTTACATAAGTGATTTTCAACCTTAAAATCACAATATATTTTTATCTTTTTTAAATGGTTAATACAAACTAAATTTCATGATGTATGGGTTTTAGTTATATTACAAACATAGTAATTACCTTATTTACCTTAGTAATTTATCACAGACTGCCGATAAGCTTTTTAATATTAATAAATAAAAAGAATATTCAATAATTTATTCAATTCCTTACTAACTCATTAATGTTTTATTTAAATCATGATGTGTTATAATTGTTCAAAGTTAAACACATATAAATTGAAGTTTTTATTGCTTCTAGATTTAAAACAAAAATTGACCTATTTTGTATATTCCAAAACTTATAGTACACCAATTAACAACTATTGCTTTATACACCCATAAATCACTTGAAAATTAAAATATCAATGAAAAAACATAGATAATGTTACTTTTAAGTTTGAGAACAAATCAATTCACTCTAATATCTAAGCAACACAAAATTGGACGACAATACATTGAGAGTACACCATGCTATTAAAAAAAATTATTCAGTTTCAAAAATTTACTTTTTTTGAAGTAATTGATTATTTAAGACGTCCTTATAAGGTTCAAAAGTTTTTAATACATAATTATTGTTCCTTTTATTTCATATTATATTGTTATGTTTTTTTATTATTATTAACATTTTATTTTTATGAAAAATTAAAGTGATGAAGCAATACTTGATCAAAGGCATTTACAATTTTTGGCTGAGATTTCTAGTAGAAATCTTGGTATAAATATAAGCGAACCTTCAGTGACTGAACCGTCTCGAATAGAACCAGAACCAATTGTTAATAGTAAGTAGTATATATTAAAGTATTTCTAAAAATATATAATATTATTATCGAATGTATTTACAGAAATTGTAAAGCCACTAGAAAAGCCACAAACCAAACGTAAAATTAGCAGTCAAGAACAATCATCGAAACGCAGTAAATCATCTACTACTACTACTACTACTACTGCTGCTGCTGCTGCTGCTGCTGCTGCTGCTACTACTACTGCTACTTCTACTATTACTACTACTATTACTACTACTACTGCTACTACTACAACTCCTTTACCTTCAGGTAGTTATTTTTCAAATTAAGTCTTCTAATTATATATTATTCTTCAATCGCTATTATTCAAAGTATTTGTTTACTTTCATTTATAAATAAATTTTACTAAAATATTTCTATAGTAATCAACTAATAACTTATTTTTTTAAAACAATTTTTTTTATAGTATCTCATATTTCAAAATTGCCGGATTTAAAAACACAGATACCTTTAAAAGATGGCAAACCGTTGGTTGTATTCAGTAAGTAAAATTCTTTTTCGTGTTATTTATGTTAATGTGTTAAAGTTAAATCATTCAAACTTTAATATAATTATTAATTAAAAATACTAGATTATCTAGAATAATACATGAGTATGTTACTTGTATAATTATTGGATATTTCTAATATTGATATAAAAGTTATTATATTAAATAATGATTACAATCTCCCATTTTATTAACATGAAACTTTTTACATTTTAGCTCCAGATATGGATTCAGCTCAACGGCAAGCTGTAATTATAGCTAGAATGAATGATCTGCGAAGAGAATATGCTATAGTTAAAGCTCGTTTAACTGTAGTGGATCGTAGGAGGAAAAAAATTAAGAAGCGAAAAAGGGATATGGCAAAAGCTGCTGCTTTGAATCAAAATAAACAGTCACAAGCAGCTAGTAGTACTAGCACATCTAAATAAAATTTAATTTATTTATTCCGCCTATTAGAATTTTAATATTGATATAAATGTTTACTATTTAGTATTATATCATTGAAAATGTGATACCGAATAATATTACATACTTCATTATATTTAATTGTTTTTAAACCTTCCAAAGAAGGATAACTTATCATTAGTTACTTAATTTTTACTTGGTAGAATTGAATTTTTTTATGATAACTTAGTAAATTTTAAATTTAAGGGTCTATTGCAGCAACTGGATAACTCCACTTTTTAGAACTATTCTGGGCGTCAATAACAAAATTATTTTGTTTGGTTTCATGAAAAATCACTGAAAATGTAACAAATCAATATAGTTAATGGTTCCTTAAACACAATTTAGTGGCCCATGATTGATCCATTAAATAAATTAACTGTTCTCACTTTTAATGATATAATCAACTAATTTTTATAATAACTTAAAATAATAATTTAATTTTTATTGTTATGCCAAAATAGATTAAATTCAATAAATATAAGAATTTCTTGTTTAAGAGAAAATATTTTCATTAATTGTCAACACTTAAATTTCGCGATAATATGGTTAGACATCATATGTAACAGGAGCTGCCAAATAAAAAAAATTAATGGCCTTTGCGGTCTGTAGTCTTATTTTATCTCACTAAGACAAAACATGTATTTGTATATTATTTTCTTTTGACAGTGAATTAAATGAGGTTTTCATTAATTTTTAACAAAAGTTTTCATTTTGCCTAAACTTGAATCAGATAATTATGTACAATAGTTTTTATTGACTTTAAAAACTTCCAGAGTTCCTAAATTGATCCTTCAAAAATATTAATTGTAATCTTTGATATAAGGCCTGTAATGCATGGAACATAATGTTCTATGTACAATGTATTTTATACTAACATCATATCAAGTCTTCATCATAATGTAAGCAAACTGATAAACTATCAGTTCTATAGCCAATATATTTTTTCCATGAAATTGTTTTTATGGAAGTCACTTTTGAAAATGTTGGAAATTACCTGATTGTTGCAATGAAGTCAGCGGACCCTATTTATTGTTACCTATTTAGTATTTAGTACAAATTAGTTTGTGCATTAGCACTTAGCATTTAGCAAATAAAATTATTTGTTTTGATACGCGATTTAAATTCCTTTGCAGTTAAATGTGTTTTTTCACTATGCTTATAATTTGTGAATGTACAAAGGAAAATCGTGCCTTATGAAGATCTTATTCAGTGTGTAAATACTAAATAGTATTTAAACACTTCCTATTTTGTTATTAAGGTTAAGTGTTTCTTTATTATTAAACTAATTATTTTGTAATCAATAAGATAATTGTTTGTACTCTAATAGTAGTATAAATTTATAATATATTTATATGCCATTATACCCTAATTTATTTGAAACTCATTAAACGCTATAATATTATGTTCTGTAATTTTAAATTTAGTAAACATAATGAAATTATTTAAACTTAAATGTATTATTTTTATTTTAATAATTCTTGATAACATTTTGTTTATGTAACTAATATAATAATTATAGAACCATTAATATTGTGATTAATATTTTAAACCTATCCCAATTTTTAAATTATGTGTTTATCCAGAAAATGATTTATTCGAATAATTTAAAACTATTTTTATGTAGGTACTATATGGAATTAACTATTTATTATCGTATTTTTGTATTTCTGTATGGTTAGTTAACAGAGTGGGGCACAGTCAATAAAACACTACATGGGCATTTTTCATATACAGTAGAAGCCGCTTATTAGAAACACGGATAATTGATACAGTCATGTTATTGAAACAAAATGTCTCGGGACGAATCGGACGTATATTAGAACATTGAAAATAAATTGTATTATTGAAACATCACATCGGTTATTTGAAACAATTGGGAGAAGGTCAGTTGACATACACCGATTATCCAGCAATAACCAATGTACTTCAATCTTATCTTTACTGTCGTTACATTTATTTTTACTGTAATTTATCGTGAGAATGCTCTTTCTATACTTACCGGTCGTACCGTTTGTAGTTTAGCTTCAGCGTGCGTATATAAAGATTATTTGTGTTTCCTTTTTCTAAAAATCTAAAAATGTTTAAACGCTAAGATTTTAGCCAATTTCCATGCGACCAATCATGGTTTGAAACTCATTAGACCGATTTGCTAGCCCAATACACACCCTCTGATATTTTCAATGCGGATGAGACTAGGCTTTATTTTAGAGTTCTACCTGAACACATATACGCGCTCAAAATAAGTGACAAAGCCAAAGGGGCAATATTACTCGTATGAAAATATGGTCATGGAGTTACTCGACGCAAAAAAAACAAATTACGATTGATAAATATTTTAAATAATATCGTAAAATATACATATTTGTGCATACTTTTTTAAATTATACAATATAGGTACATACATAAATACATATTTTTCCCCTTACCTATTATTCATTTTTTTTTTTTCAATCGCTTATTAGAAACATTTGGTTAATTGACACAATTCACCTTGGTCCCAAAGTATTTCTAATAAGCGGCTTTTACTGTAGTTATTATTTTTGATATTTGATATGCATCATTTATTATTTATCACAGACACGAGGTACCTATTATAAGTACTGTATACTTCAGCTTTGAAGTCTTTAGTGTTTGGTGTTTGAAAAGACTATATTAGTATGCATTGTGGTCATCACAAACAGACCCTAAGAGGTGCTATTAATGAATACTTCATTTTCCAAATGACTGGTCAGTGAAGTTGGAATATAGATGACCAGTTATTACTTAAAAGGGTAAGTTGTCACTGTATAAAAAAAACAATAAAGTGTATAAAATATTATTCAATTTGACATCGCTTCAAACTGTAATCATTTAATAGATGCTCTATATATTAATTATTATTTTATTTTTTTCATTTCTCTTGTATAAGTAACCAGTAAGCATTAGTTATGCATAGGTAACTTTAATTTTCAGTAGATAAGTTTCATCTGTAATTTAACTAGATATAAAGGAAATAATACTTAGGTATCAACATTAAGAATTATTCAAGAACTATTTAATCTGAATTAAAATAGTTAGATTATAATTTTGAAAAATCTTGAAATGATAAATTAATGAAAAAATAAATATAAACATACTTTTTTATTTAAGTAAATATTTATTTATAAATTAACTAATACATTTCTACTTATATAATTAATTAAATTAAATAAACAAAACATTCTTTACAAACTAAAAAAATTATCCTACAGAAGACATCAAACATAGAATGACATTGTTTTTAGTTGTAAGCAACTCGTTTTGATCACACTGCTTGTCTTGAATAGTGGCAGATAAAATAGGTACAACATTATTGTTATATCTATAACTACAACAGCAGATCAATTGAGATGACCAATTTTTTAGTCTCTTGAATGTCACTATTCACTTTTACTAAAGTCTTCTGTATTTTAATTTATTGATAACATTTTATTAAGGTTCATTTTTGAATAATTAAATACAAATAAAATCAATAGGTAGTTATAACTTATTTTATGGACCTTAAAGTAAAGAAGAATTTGCTAACATATTTCTTTATAATACATAGAATAAAATGAAATGAATACATAATAAATAAGTAATTAATTAAAACAATTAGTATTTGTATAGTCGAAAATTTTCATTTAATATCTGAATATTGTAATATTATTTAGTGAATTTTTAAATATATCATGAACGTATTAATCTTAATTCTTTATATTTTTAATAGTTTTTCGATTCTCATTTATTGGTATGGAAATTATGACAGTAATTATAAACTCAGAATTCTGAAGTGGGAATTGTGAAAAAGATGATTTACACACAAAATAAATTTTTTTTAACTTAGTTTATACGTAATTTTCTCATTAAAAAATATTATGTTCATAAAATAATAACTTATAGCAAATAACTTTATAACTAAATTGAATTGTGATACAATTAAGATAAGAAATATATAAGTATAATTAAATTCCATATAATATTAAAATTTTTATTTTGTATATATCAACAATAATCTGCAGTAAATACCCAACGATTAATAATATCATACAATTTTATTTTGTTGTCATATTTTAAAGACCATAAAATTTATTTTGGTAAATGTACAATGTGAACAGAGCTAAAACACATCATCATTACTTTAAAACGTGAAATTATATTAAAATTTAAAATTACTCTTATACAATAAGTATATTAAAATCAAAATCTTCTGGTTTATTTTTCAGAAACATTACCAGAACATCAGAACCTACCCATAATATTCAATATGCGCGTTAAGTAGACTGATAGAAAGTCAAATAACTGAATTTTCTAAAAAAAAAAATATTTTTGATTTATCTAATTAACTACATATCCTAATCATAGCTGTAAGATTGCTGTTGTTACAACAATAGTTATACCTAGTTCATATTTATTATTATGGTACATATGCAATAAAATAGAAACAAATTAAATAAGTTTAAAAAAAGAAGTTAAAATACATAACATTGATATCCAATGTTCTTGATAACTTGATAAGGAACAAATACTTGTAAAATCAGCTTCACGTTTAAATTAATTTACTCATAAGTATAGAGTAATTCCAGTTTTTTTCATTCACTTTGACATCAAACTTTTAATAGTCTATATAGTGTTTCCTAAATATAAATGCAATAGTCCTTAAAGTATAGCCCAATAAATGTGCTTCAACAGTATAATTATATATATAAATATACATTAAACAGTACAGCATAAAAGCACAACACAAGTAGCAACGAAAAAATAATGATAATAATAATAAAAACAAATACATAGGAGGTACCTATTTTCTTTTTAAGTTAGGTAGGTAATGAAATCAATAACCATTATAAGTAAGAACAGTGGCGTATTAAAGAAGATGTGGGTCGTGGGGGGGAGGTAATGTTACGAAATTCATTGTTTTAGAGAAGCTTAAAAATATAAAACTGTTCATATTTATAACTATACCCTATATCATTATGTTTAAAATATAATACATAGCGGCAGTCAGAAATGTGAAATAAATGAATTTGCTAAAATCATGTTGACATAAAGTACCTACAACTAAATCCAACCCCCAACGATAATAAAAAAGCGTTAATATCATAACAGTGAAGATTATCACCGTGAAGACATTATGATAGTTTCTGTTACTACCTATGTAACGTTGGATGTATAAAATGTATATCAATACGAATACCATTACGTTTTGTTATTAATTTATATGATATTATTGTAGTGCATAATAGATAATTGTTTACCTAATAAACTCGATGATCAATCCGAAAATTATTTATAATTCGTGTAGGTACCAAACTATATAATGTAACTGCTACTGGGTAGGTATAAAATAATATTCATTTTATCTAGAAGAATAACTATATAAGCAACTGTATAGTTTATAAGCGCTTTAATAGTACTAAGAAAAATAATAATTAAATTAAAAATTAACGCGATAAATTGATAGAAAATAATGTTCAATGAATAATAAAACAATTACGATGTGGCTAAATTTAGTGATCAACAGAAGAGTTATTGGGTAGAGTTATGGGTTCATTTGAAGATTGTTCATCGGAAACAATATAACTCATTAGAGGGTTTATACCTCTGGTGCTTACAACTGTATCATGTAAATTCATTCTGAACATTTCCGATTCCTCGACAATAGCATCTGCACTGATATCATCATGTGTGTCCATCATGTATTGTAGAGGAGTGTCATCACTAGTGTCAGCCTCGATTAGATTTTCCAAATTTAAAAATGCGGTAATATCTCTACCATTTAATATACTGTTCGTTGGAGGTTTATCGACTGAAATATAAATATTATTTACTTATTATTGAACACGTATTAATTAGATAGGTATCGTTAGGTAGGTATTTACGTTTTATCTTGCTACGGTCTTTTATTGCTATCTCGCGTTTGTTTTTAAATTCCGTCGGAAAATGTTCAACAATCTTCTCTATGAATTTGTCCAAAGTCAAACAAAACGATTTTGACCTAATACATACACGACAAATTGGACATTTTCTAACTCGCTTTATCCAAACATGTATACATGATTCACAAAAAGTGTGTGAACAGTTAAGCACTGTGGGCTGAAATGAAAAAAAATAATAAATTAATATTGATCCAAGAAAAGTTTTAAGATTGAAAAGTGTCTTTTTATGATATTGACAATTGACAAGTTGAGTAAGTACTTTTGTTGCAGTGCAAATACAAAATATTGTCTAATTTCTACTGCAACTGAAGGTATATGCGTCTATTCATGTACCTATAGCATTTATACATATTTTTTAATTTATATTATCTATTACAAATACTAATTCCAAACTTAGAAAATATATCTTTTAGTTAGGTAATAAGTATTTACGAATAATTATATGCATTTACTATTTTATAGATAGTATTTCATTTTTAATATCATGCGGTAACAAAACATCAAATAAATATACCTAACTAGCTATTATTTATTAATTATAATATTTTATTTAATGTTTAGTTTTCAATAGTGATGTGAAAGTTAAACTAATTAAAAACATTATTGAACACTAGTACCCACCCCCTTATAGCTTACATTATCTGTTTTGTTATACATATCGTAAAATTAAATAAAACTTATTATATAATTGTTGATAATTATAATTTCTATCATAATAGTATAGTAGGTACTTACCCTAATAAAGATTTCAAAACAGATATTACATTGTAAATCACTGTCAATAGCACTCTGTATAACTTCACTCCACTCAGGATGGCTACGTTCTTTTAATTTTCGTTGATGAAGTGCATGTAATTTACTTGCACTCTCTTTTACGTTTTTGCCATTTCCTGTTTTCATTGCCACAGAAAGTTCGTTTGCCACCTCTTCCATTTCTATTTCAGACTCGTCAGGCTTTATTAATTTTGGTCTACAATTAATAAAATTTTATGAAAAATTAAAATAAAATCAATAACAATTAGTTAAAAATAAAAGAGTATACTTCATTGAAGCTTCAATGAGAAGCTGAAGTCCTTGAGCTTGTACTTTCGGCGTAGATATGCCACTAGCACTAGTGCTTGGAAAAGTTTGTGGATAACTTTCTTCGTAATAAACTGCCGCTAAAGGGAGAACAAATTAAAAAATTATTTTATTGGTTATTAATAAGTTGGTACAAAAGCCCAAAGTTTATTTAATAAACAAAATTAAAATTTTAAAAACAATAATCTCATGCAGAAATTTCTTAATATATTCTTAGCGAAGTTTTACGCATGGCAAATTTTCCTCCTGCAATCTATATCGTGTTATATTATAATTTATAACAGTGCAAGTATATAGGTCTATTAGGATTATGCGGTTTTGCCTAAGCTAAATACGTTGGGTAAATCTTTAAAAAAAAAAAATGTTTTATAAATTTATTATTGGTACTACAGTCAAAACCCATATTCACACTCAATAGCGTACCCACATACATACGTCACACACACACACACACACACACACACACACACACACACACACACACGTATGAGGATTTTTAACCCTTCGTTTTTTTTTTTTCACTTTAAACGCTCATCCCATATTGATATTAACTAAATAAATAATAAAATATAATATATTTACTTGCAGCTGTTGCGAGCGCTTGACTATTAGACGATCGGTAAGGTGACAAGTCGTGCGAGTTCCAACACTTGTTGCCGAACCGGCAAGCGCCTCGTAAGTAAAACATGCAGATTTCTGAAGACATGATCTCGGTCGATTTAATACTATTAGTATTATTGTACGTTGCGTAGACGATATAATAATATATTATATTGTAGCCCGGAGTCAAAATACGGAAGTCCGACAGCGGTTGGTCGGTTATGTACGACAATATCTTACTATATATTTTAAATGTTGTTGCTGTTGATGTAATACCGCGATACGATGTGAACGAGCCGCGCACGAAAATCCAGGTACCTCCACTACCGGCGTCGCCTGATGAATGTCCCGGAGTGGGATGAGCGCCGCCGATACGGAGATGTCCCTTCTGCCACCATCACTCGGTCCCTCTGCACCAATTCGTCACCACTGCACCACCCCACCCCCCTCCCTCCACCGCCGTCGCTCTCGTTGCCTGCCGCCGTTTCGGTGGGCTTCGACAGCGGCGACGGCAACAGCGCTGTTCGCAGGGCGGGGGTGGGGGGGGGGTGCGACGCGGCTAACCTAACCTGCCGCGTGGGTCGGAGGAGGTGAGTAGGACGCACACGGATCGATCGTCGTTGGTATTCGGACGGAGGGCGCAAACGCGGTGGATATAACGATCGGTGCCGAATCCGGGACCACCACCTGCACGGCTGCACACATATACGCGGCACAACACGTAATATCGTACTAATTCGCGTACAGTTCGTAATAATAATATACAATACACGTGCTTACAGGTACGTTCAAAACGATGTTAAAGTGATCGTCGACGCCGCTGTGCACACCTCATACAATATATAGGTACATCGTGTTGGTACTCGCACACACACACACACACACAAGCTCGTATACAAACATGCCTACGTATATATTTGCACGAGTGTGTATCGTTGTAAATCAAGCTATCCAACATCTTGAGCATGATATAATATTGCACGCGTTACGCGAGTTTCCGCGAAGGTAATACGCTGGCAGCCATTGAAATGGTGTTGTATAGCTGTAAGCCGTGCACGTGAAACGGTATCACCGATCGTGCGACATCCCGTCTCGATGTTGAAATCGAAGAGCATTGTAATACAGTCAAAATTGTGCAATATTAGTAGATACCCATTAGTAGTGTACATTTTATAAATGACAATCTATAAAATTGTTAAAGTAATAATATGCGATTTGGTACTTTACAATTTATTATATACACATTACACTCATATAATGTTGGTCCGTCAACGGTTTCGTCGCTGTGCGCCGTCCATCGCTAACAACAAATGAAATGTAAAAAAATAACCGTGTACATAATATATACGCACATACGTAGGTACCTAGTTTGTATTGAACAACGTTATTGGGTATTCGTGTATGTTTGTGTACGTGTGTGAGTGTGTTTAGTTTTTACAAAATGTGTGAAGATACTAATATTTGTTAATTGTTACATAGGTACTTACAGTATGGGAGTTTATTAGTAAATATTATATATATATATATATAATATACATGAATATGTAACGCGTAGACGTGTTGTATATTAATATGTATTGTAGTATATAGTCGTATACTGTACTGATGTAGTATAATATATATACTTGAATCGTAGTCAGGCGTTACGTTCATTTGCCATCGATGAAAATAAATAGTGAGGCGTGTGTAGGTAGTCAAAACGTTTTTAACTTGGCGTATAATATTACACAGGAGGAGTGTAAAACTAAATATAGGTACCTACTTAGGCATTATTATGTATGTAAATAGGTAATTCAATAGTTAATTGTATTATAGATAATAGGTATGTATATTTAAATTACTCTAAATCTAGAAACAAAAATTATTAATCGTATATAACATTTTATAACTACTTGGGGATATGACAGATTAAAAAAAAAAAAAAAAAGAGAAAAAAAAAAGAGTACTACACATGTCACACAATATTATTTGATATACTGATTATTGCTTATATTATACACCTACGTTATAGATAATTTTTCTGTAGCATACCGAATTTAGGACGTGAAAACATAAGATGCGAATTGTGTATACCTATACGCAATAGCTGCAGAGTTGTAGCCAGTGGGTGGTGTTGACAAAATAATATGTATAATGTATATAGTAAATTTGTTTTCCTCGATCAATAATGTATATAACGGTAGATATATTACATTCGGTTTCAGTTTCAGTTAAAAACAAAAGTCTTAAAGTGATATTTCTTCTTCAAATATTTTATAATCAGAAATAAAAAAAATAATAAAATTAAAATTATTTTTAGTATTTGGTTTAATACTTTCAACAGACTTTAAAAAAAATATATCATACCTAATGGTTAATATTGAATTCGATTATAATTTTTAATAGGTATATTAAGTATTATTGCCATTTATACAATTATACCCATATATCATAATAATTTATATTATGGTCTAGAAATAATCACTATTTACAGGCCTACAGGAGTGTATCTATTTACAATACACAGTGTATATACCTACTTACATGAACATTTATAGAGAAATGTATAATGTATATGAATATTAAATTTAAATATATTATATTTATATTACATGTATGTACCTACCTAAATATGCTTAAAGTTAAAATATTTTCAGAACATCTAACTAAACAATGCTAAGTTATAAAATATCGTGGTAATAGGTAGGTAAGCCTCATAATTGATAATATGCCATTAAATATGAGCTCTATTCTTAACTATTAAGCGTACAGGTGTCAGATTTAATGTGTAAAATAGATCAAATATTTTTAATTCTTATGTTATTTAGACGGAAATAAGATTTAGTTGGTTGGTATCTACCATAATTTAAGGATAATAAGTCATGAATTTTAAGGTTACTAATGTATTATAGGTATTATTATAGACCACACATGTATTTGAGTATTGTAGTTGTCGAATAAAAAAATAAAACAAGAATTGGTATTAAAAGATAGGTAGTAGTCATACAGTGTTTCTGACTTTCTGTCATAGGTACTTAATCGAAATGTTTTATTTTTAATGGCAACAAAATATACCTATAGATTATATTATGCGTGTAGGTACCGAGTACTTATAACCTATACCTATATAACAAAAATTAAATACTTGATATGGAACTCAATAATATTAATATACAAAATAGGGTTTATTGATTTTTTCCATGAGTTTGTTTCACTTTTACATATTATTTATTACACGTGCACATTGACCAAAATATGTGAGTCGTGTAACACTTGTATTGTTTTATTGCGTTTCAATTGAGTAAACGTGATTATTGATTTTAGAGAGTTTGTCAATATATTCAATATCTAACTATGATGTTGCTGTGTTTATGCGGCGGCGCGAAAGTTGCCACGAGCAACCATATAACCTTGTAGCAAAATATAATAGTTAAAAAAAACTTTAAACTCATTATACTTGAATATTATTACCATTATTTTAAATAAGTAATAATTATTGTTATTTGACGGATAAGCATAAATAGAAATTTGAGAAATTACCAACCAAAAGTCATCGATAGAGCCTGCAGTAGAGTGTAGATTTTAATATTATGTATTATTGTCATGCCTTTTTCGTTTATTTTTATTACCTACAGCAAGTGGCGTATTTAAGACAACCCTCCAGATTCGTATAAGTTGATGGGAGGAGGAGGAAAAAGAACACACTACTTTTATCAAGACAATAAAAAATAAAATCACAGAGATATTATCATTATTTTTTTATCAAACGAAGGCCTTAAATGTTCATTTTTAAGTAAGCAATATTAAATTTAATTCATATGACTCGAGGGGCTTCCATTTTCTATAAGCCATCAAATTATTATAAGTACGTCATTGACCCGTATTGGAAAACGGTATCAAAAAAATAATTTACCTAATATTTCAATAAAATGTTAAAAGTATGAATCAGTATGAATATAAAATTATTTTAATATGTAAATTGTAATAGACCTAAGCGATTAATGACGAATAGCAGATAAAATATCACATTCAGACAAACCAAATACACGGTCCAATATAGATGGCGGGTAGCTGATGTGTAAAAATATTGTCTTAAAATTTAGTCTTTTACCTAATTTTCATTTGAAAACAATTATAAACGAAGGTACATATAGATAATATAAGACAAAATAATGTACGTATAATTACATCATAGGTAGGTACTAGGCACTGATTTATATTTATAATTATCTTTTAAAATAGTCTAAATATATTTCCCGTATTATCCATAAATATAGATAGCTTATAGACTAGAAATGTCTTATTTATAAAAAATTAAAAAAAAGGGCACTGAAGGGAAGATATTATTTATTATATATTAATTATTATTGTCAGACTCTACTGGATTGATTGAATGGGTATTGGGTTGTGTTTCTAAAAATATGAAATAGGTATTTGAGTAGGTACCTACTCAATGAAAGATGATTATTAATACCTTATTTTAGTTTCGTAATTTTCTATTATACAATTTAGGTATAATGGAAATTAACTAGATGTTGTTTCTAAATTAATATAAATATTATACTCTTAAAATTATTGCGGCAAAACGATTCGCGTATAACTATTATCAAAATATTATCACTATGATATCGAAACCAGATAAGGAGTAATAACGTTGGATAGTGCTGATATCGTTGATAAGCAGACTCAGAATAATAATAACATAAGATAGTAATATTTTATAGTCTTGCAAATATCTTAAAGGAATTTTTCACTAGTAAATATGAAACAAACTAATTCTATAATATGTCGTTAAATATTACAGGTCCATAATGAACGCACCTAGTCCGGAAGTGGATGTATTTATTAGCAACTACACAATCGTCGATCCAGACGTATATCATCTGTGGGTGAATGGATATTCCGGTGAATATTACCTACTCGATAAATATAATAATATTGTGTATGAATGTGTTTAAATGTTATTGAATTGTTTTTATCAATAATTGTTTAAGCATCGGAAGCAGTATCCATTCTAAAACAGTATGGTATCCTAGAGGAAATGGGCACTACACTCGACTTGGTTGCATCTGATATATTGGACCATTACAGAACTTATAGTTTACTAGAAAAAATAATACATTATCCAACAAAGTTAGATCAGCAGCTGGCATTTCAAATTGAACCACAAACAAAACACATATTAGTAGAAAAGTATTTATTTTATTTATGTAGTAAATAATATATTAATAACGTTATATTAAGTACAATTTATACATATTTGAGATACTTGTAATTATCCTGTTGATTTTTTATATTCATAGTACAATTAAAACCAACTATACTTAAAAGTTAAGATAATATATAAACATATTTTTTTTTCTAATCAAGTCATAAAATTAATAACTGATTTATTATAATTTAATTCAGGTATTATGAAATAGACGATATAGTTATTCGAGAATTTCTTGGAAAAAAATTATCATCAAAACATCGTAAAGATTTGGACGAAGTTAGTGAAAAAACAAGCATTGCTATTAAATCTTGCAGGTTTTTATTATTAATTATTTATCAAAAAAATAAAAGCATAGAAACTAAAAATATCTATTAAAAAAAACCAATAATAATAATTTTAGACGTCAATTTGATAATGTCAAAAGAGTTTTCAAGGCTGTTGAAGAACTTCAAGGTTCTGTTATCCAAAACATTTCCAGCATATTTCTACTGTCAGAAGATCTGGCAAAGTATGTGAAAAAAAACTGATGTTTTACTTAACATTTTGCAAATAGGTAATTGATTATCATACTAATATTTTATTAGGAAGTATGGAGTAATTGTTTTCATAGCATGTATGCGTTTTGAAACGTCAAAACGTAAATTACAAATGTTAACTTTTCCTGACTTTTATGAACCAACTCTTTGTATTATGAACAAGTGGACTTATCCTAAAAATAGTCCAGAATTCGGAGACACCGACTTAGATCGAGAGTTTCTGCTTGAATTAAGAGAAGTTAGAGTATTATTAGACAAAGAAAAGGATCACAAACAGTAAATATTTTTTACTAAATACAATTTATTAAATATTTTAATGTAATTAACCTTACTTTTTAGCATTGTATGTCAAAAATTAAAGCCAGAGTTTCTAGAAAAAACATATAATAGTATGGAAGTTAATTTTCGTTTACTGAGTAGAGCAATAATAGGAATAGCCTATAATCTTCACCACAACAGAGACTTACGGTAATTTTGGTGATATTAATTTAATAATTACGGTTATTTAGTAATACACGTGTTGACTATAAATATTTATTGTTATTATCATATTTTTTTAAATTTTATTTTAGAGGATTCTTCCTGGAAGTAGTAGAAAAAATTATTGATCCATGGAGAATACTTGGTTGGAACAAAATAGATGTCATGAATTTCCTTAAAGTATACATTAATTGTGCCATAGAGTTAGATGTATTTCAGTAAGTAATGCAATGTAAATTAAAATTTATTATTATTTCCATAAAACCATTGAAAAAAGTATTGTGACTAAAATACAAAATGTAGTTGTAATATAATATATGATTGTTTGCAAGCAATATTTTTTTTGATATCATAATATTTTTTATTCAAAATGTTATATATAGAAACTTTTAATTATTCAAAAAAATTTCAGCTCATTAATAGTTTTATTTCAGTAAACAGAATAAAAAAACTGAAAATATTTTTATAAATAATTTAAAATATTAAATCATGAATTAATAAGTAATAATAATCAATAAATTAATAAGTATCTTAATATGTTGATGATAATGTGAGAACTTCAAACATTATTGGCTGTGTTGATTAATGTCTTGTTTAACTTATCAACTATTCGAAATATTTTATGTATGCCTATTTTCTATAGTAGAGTAACTAATTAAATTGGCAATAATTTTGTTAAATTTTGTATTCTTAATTTTTTGTATTATGTATCTAGTAAAAATATCTCCCAAAATAATTATATTTATTATAATTTATAAAATATAACAGAACTCAATTTCATTTTAACAGATTTATATTTATCAAAACAAAATATATTTAATATTAAATATTAATAATGTTGTAAACGTTTTGAAAATATTTATTCAACTACTATTATTCTATAGGGGCAGGCATTTTTTATTCCACAATTGTTTATTTCTGACCCATATGCAACTTAGCAAACTTTTGTCAAAATAAAATCAGATTTGTGTTTTTAACTTTAATGATAAAGTGAATTGATTCATTATCTAACTTAAAAATCAGAATATTATTTAATGCAGAAGTTTTCAACCTTTTGACCCACACATTTTTACAAAAAATACTTATTATTTTCATTCAGTTGTTAAATATCTACTTTTGTTGGTATATTTTCTTTGTTGAATTTTTTTTTTTATTCAATATGTTTATTTTTATTTATTATCTTCCCTGTATATTAAGTCATGTTTGAATGTATAATAATTCAAAAAATTAAATTTTAATCTAGAGATGCAGAAGTAAAGAAAGCTTGGGAACGGTATATGGATGTAATAACAACCAGTGTCAAACAACTATATTGAAACAATATAGTGATTCATTTTAAGAAAATTGAAATATTGTTTGTTTTATAGTATAGACTGCTGAAATAGTGTTTTATTTTTAATATTATGCCAGTTGTTTTGTAACATGTGTCCTTATAAACAGTTATAACTGTATTTTTATGTATACATATGTTTTAGAAAAAGTTAACTATTTTTATAAGCACGGTTGCCCTAACACGCCAAAATATTTGTTTTATATTAATTGTATTGCAGAATTATTCTTAGATTGTGAGTGTTATATTTAACTTTTGTTTATTGAAAGCTTTGATACAAAATCTAATAATTATACTTTTATTTTATAGATAAAACTACTGTGAATTTGTTGTACTAGTCTTTAATATAATACACTTACAAATATGTATATTGTATTTATATAGTAAATTTTAAAAATTGCAAAAATCAGTTTAAGACTTATACTTTTAATCAATATATTATTTTATTTATATCAAAACTTTGTAATGTTTTTATTGAATTACATTGAAAGTATTAATAGTTAACAATTATTTGATTTTAAGTAGGAAGTTATTAATTGTTTTATCTGAACATCATGAACATTATACTTCAGTTAATGTATATAAAATATATTACTGTGCGGCTTCAATAAATACATAATAAATTCAAAACATTACAATATTGAGATAAAGTAACACCACATACATTGTTGAAGTATGATAACAGTAAAAAATCACAACTAAAAAATGAAAATAAAAAAAAATTTACATAGGTAAGCTTTGACATATATTTTAACAATTGATGATTTACAATAAGGTTGTATAATAAACAATTAAATTACAATCTAAGAGTTAAGTATTAATTTGTACTTTGTTAACAGCTAGATACAAAAATCTCACTAAATGTCATATTCATCAGTAGTACTTAAAAATGAGAATAATAGTACAAATTATTATGAGTTAATATTTACTGAAAAAAACACTAAAACTAAATTTGATTTTATTGTGGTATATGGTATTTTATTCATTTCTTGTCTTTATGTTAAACTTTATAATTGAAACCCAAAAATTAAATACATGAAACCACTCATACAAATTTAAACATTTCAAAAATAGATGTTTTACAGTTAAATTAATTTTTAATATTAACGGGTTTAGACGAATAAAACTATATTTTTGATTTATGTATCTATTAAGTTGTTATAATTATCTTTAATTAGGTTAGTACATTTTAAAATATAATTAAAAAGAAAAGAAAAGCAAATATAAATTTAAATTTAAAAATCGGTTTTGTTAAAAATCATGTAACAAACATTAGTAATAATAAAAAAAAATAATTTACAAACAACATGAACTTGATTAGGAAATTTAAGTTAAATTTAATCGTATGAAAATAACTATGTTTTTATCTTAAACATATTTATTCATTTAATCACTTACCTCTATTTCAGCTAAGATTTTCATTATTAAAAAATGTTACTTGTTTTGAGTAAGCTGCTGCAATATGGTAAGGTGGTGGAACCCTTTGTGTGTTTACTTTTGGTTCATATATTTTTTCCTGCAATACAATTTTTTTTAGATATTTAATTTTTTTTCAACTATTAAGTATCATATTTGTACATACTGGTTTAATCACACAATTTTTCATTTGATAAAGTTGTTCCATTTTTTCTGCTTCTTGATCTATTATTGTACAATTATCAATTTCAGAAGAATGTTGTTTATCAAATTCGCTCGATAGTTCCTATAAATGAATATGTTATATTTAATTAATTTTTTTTTCATTTCTTGTAGGGATGTTATACCCGCATGTGTTGTTTAAAACTTACTAATGCACAGCATAACAAAATGTATTATTAGTAGTTTTAATTTTATGTTAAATAATTTAAGTTATAGAGTAGATTTGATCTACATTGATCATTATCAAATTTAAAGGTAAGACAATAATCTGTGCTAATCATTGGTTTTTACAATACTTTAATTTTTAATATTGTTATAGCTGAATAATGTGTAAATATTTAAAACATTTATATTTAATAGTGGAAAAATCAATAAGATCAATATAGATAGTTCTTATCTTTAAATTTGATATTTTAATTTACTTTATTTTTTAAATTAGAAAATGAAAATGCTGACATTAATGTAAATTTTGAATGCTGTCCATTTGTAAGAAGTATACAATAAATGTAAGAGACCTTTTAAATTTAAAAATACATAATTAAATGCTAAAAAGATAAAAGCTTGAGAATAATATTAATGCTTTGCTGCTACTTTAATTCTACTGTTATATTTGTTGTTTAATATTAAACAATTTTTAGAAATAACTGGTTTAAAATAATATTACATTATTTTTCTTTTTCCTTTCCAATAACATTTTTGCAAATGCTCTCATTTTTTTGGGATGTGGTGTAGGAACTCTCATTAAATTTCCTGGTTCTTCTAAGCCAGAATCTTCAGTGAACCTGATTCTTGTATTTGTTTTAAGAGGTTTATGACTTTGATCTTTAACTTCTATAAAAAAATATTTTATTTATATTATTTCATTGATATGTATAAATAATAATTAAAAAAATAATTCACCCATATAACTTTCTTCTCTTTGTGGTAATAAATAACAAGTTAAAATATGTTTTCCAGTCTCATCTTCATAGTCATTTTGTAAAGGTGTTAATGGTTTGCTTTGATTTTCTGAAAGCCATAGTGCATTTAGATTTTTTAACTTAAGAACTGAAAGGGGAAGATTTGTTATCTTGTTTTGTGTCAACATTAAAACAACTAAATTTTGTAAGCTTCCAATGCCATCGGGTAAACTTGATAAATTATTAGATCGTAGGCTAAGTTCTCTTAAGCTTCTACAGCTACAAATTTCTAAAACCAAAAATAGGTGACCATTTTACTAAATTCGTACTATGAAAAAATAAAATATTTTAACTTTAAGTATAGAAAAAAAATTACCTGTTGGTAAACTGGTTAATCGATTGGCATCCAAACGTAAAGTAATTAATTTTCTCATTAAGCCAACAGTAGGTGATAAAGTTTCTAAACAATTGTAAGAAGCATCAAGTTCTTCTAGACACTGAAGACCTTCAAAAATACCATTCATTTGTTTCAGACAATTATGATCTACCTTTAATGTGACTAAATCGTGTAAATGCTTCATTGAATTTGGTAAACTCTGATATAAAATTACAATTAAATATTAGACAATAGTAATTAAATTGACAGATGTAAATTTACTTTTAAATTGTTAAATGATAAATGAAGGTCTTTTAATTTTGAACAATATTGAATATCTTGATCAATTTTAGAAATTCTATTATAACTAGCATCAAAATACCATAATTCGTGTAGATTGCTAACTTCCTATAAAAAAAAAAAAAACCCGTAAATATTAAAAATAAAATTAATTATTTAATAGTTTTGTGGTGATTTATATAATGTAACAACAGTGAATTTAAATTTTTTTACATAATACATTTTCTTGTCGATGGCCTAATATTTATAAGATGTAATGGTAGTAAACCAAATGAAGTTCCATGAATTTTTATATGATTTATAATCAAGTTAGGGGTTTCCAGCCTTTTTTACATCGGCTAAACTTGAGATATGCTTTGATATTGTAAGTCAAATTTTTTTTTTAATTGTCTAATAAGATATTAATAAATTAAAAATAATGAAAACTAATAAATTATTTTCAAAACATTAATTGTAAGTTGGAGACCACTAATCTAAGTGATTTTTATAGCCTTTCTATTGATGATTGCATATATCATTCAACAAGTTTACAACAATTAAAGAAATGATTTATACTTATAAATGTCACAAATTTTATATTCAATTTCTTGTACACAAACCATTTATCTGAACATTATTTATCAATATCATTTATTCTACTTTAATAATTTATCATAATAGCTTTTCTTGATTATATTTTCTTTTGCAGTAAATTAAACTTATTAACAATCATACTTGCTACTCATTTTTTCTCTCATCCTTTTTTTTTCTTTTAAAAAGGTTATTTTAGTGAAATTGCAACATAAACTCTTAAAGATTATTTAACTTTCATATTTAATTTGCCTATAATCATTTCAGTTATATAGTATGACGCCAATATAGTTTATTATGATAACTAATAACTTAGAACTCAATTTATCAAATGTTGATAAATTTTGTTAGTTACAAATTTACAAACAGTAAATATATAGATATACAGCATGTTTACACTGTAGTAAAACATGTACAATATTACATTAGACTACATACAACAATAATATTAAATAATTTTTTATACTTACAGAAGGAATGTCCATAATATCATTGGAGTCTATCCACAACTCATGTAGTCCGTAAAGATCACTAATTGCAGCAGGCTAAAAAAAAATTAATGATTGGATTGTAATTGAGTTTAAATTTTAAAATACAGTGAAACCTCTCTTAACTGATACCCCTGAATAGAGGATGATTTTTGAGTATAGGAATAGGGACATTTTATTACTTGTTTATAGGAAAGCCACTAGATATAGGACACTTTAAATAAGATACTTTTATGACTAGACTTGGATGATTTTTATCTTAATTGTTTAAGTATATTTTATTACAATGTGCATTATACACATTATTATACTAAAATTTATCTTATTTGTTGTAGGTAATGGCCATCTCATTTGGTGTACCTATTAAAATATTATTATTGTTTATGTCATGTGAAGTTATCCTATTTGTATTTAATTGCATTAGTAATTTGAAAGCGAATGTGTGTCTTACAAATGAATATTGTATGCAATGGTTAGTAAAAAAAATTTTAATACTTAAAAAAAAATTTAATTTAAAAATTGTCTGGCAAAATACAAGTGTTTGTGAATTTAGAAGCAAGTTTAGTATTACTAAAATAAAAATTATAAGTATAATTATATATATGTTCATGTTTAAAAGCAAACTCGGACAGTGACTAATTTTTGTTAGCAGCACGCAGGTCACACACACAACTATTTCCCTACTTAGTCAACTATCACTAATATAAAAACAGAATGATACCACGCCTATGAGTAGAAGTTAGTTGTCTGAATCACTTCTAAACTTGAACGTAGTATATTATATACATATATGAGTCATTTTTATTTATTTATATTTATTGATATACTATTTTTCATTCAACCTTTTCTTCCCCTATAAATTAGCAGGCAACATTTTGGGGACTTGGAGTGTATGATATTTAGAGGTATCCCAGTATTCATGGTTATACTTACAAAATCGATGAAGTCATTTTGTCCAATGTCAAGTCTATATAATTGCATTAAATGTGAAACAGCCTTGGGGATTTGAGATATTTTATTATCTCTTAATTCTAATACTCTTAGATTAATAAGTCTTCCAATGTTTGCTGGTATAAATTCTAATTGTGTGTCATTTAAACAGAGTTCTTCTAAAGACAATACTTGCGTCAAAGGTATAGGGAATATTGAAATAGGGTTGGCGCTTAAGTTTAAAATAGAAAGTTTTTTACAGTTCTTTATATTTTCGTCAATTGTTGATAAATCTAAAAATATCAAATAAAAATATTTTTTTTTTTTTAAAAAGCTTAAAATAATGTAATACAATTCTCTTACAATTTCTGCTCACGTCTAACTCAACAAGATTAACCAAAGATCCAATTGCTTTTGGGAGATGTTCTAATCTATTGTCACTTATATGTAATACTTTTAGCTGACCGCAATGAAATAAAGGTGACGGTAAATCTTTAATCTAAAAATAAAATGAATAATAATCAACTATAAAATAAAAACCATTTTTAATAATTAAAAAATTTAAATAAATACAAAATGAATTCATTATTTTTATATTACAATAAAACAAATCTACTTCTTAATTGTTTTTCATTTTGTTTCAAGTTGAAATAAATAATAAAAATACTGTAATTAGTGAATAATTTCATAATTTTATACATATTTTGTAAATAAACAAATACACAATGGAGACAGATTTAATAAATGTTTAAAAACTGATGTAAATCCAATTTTGTTAAGATTGGTATTTATGTTCACCGAGATTCAAATATTTTATCTATCCAAGATGAAATAAAAAATTTTGCCAACAAACATGCAGAAAAACTTAAGCTGCATTTCAATGCAACTGCTAAATAACTTATTGACAACTTGCAATACATTAAGCGCCTTAAAACGCTTAAAGCTATATGACCTAGTTTAAATGAACTTGGCTAAGAAAAGGACTATCTCATTAAAGATACAACCCCAAACGTGTTCATGTATATTATATATTTAAATAATAATAATAATTAATATTATTATAGTATAATAATATCACCATTCCCAGTATAACTAATAACCTATTATATTGTACTCAACCACAATATATTGTATTTATAAAGACCTTTGGTCGTTTAAATAAAGATACTATAGACAGTTAAAAAGAAAAAAAAATGTTTATGTATTTAAATCAAAACTATATCCAGAATTTAAGAAAACAAGTCATGACTGCAAATCATACAAGTAATTATTGTAATAGTGTTAATAAATATTTTATTTTTTTAAATATATTAGTAAAATAATTTATGTATCATATTTCTATAAATTATAATAGTAATATTATTTGTAACTAATGGCAATGATTTAAATAAACAAAACAATATTTAATTTTTGTGAGCCAAATAGAAATTTCTAGGCGGCTTGCTCTATAGCAACCTATAGGGTTTAAAATAACAAACTATAAATACCTCACGGGCCACGAGTCTTAAGAAATCTATTAATATAACTTTTAATTGAAATGACCAATTCATTCTGAAGTTATATGATCAAAACACATAGATATAAGAATTAAAATAATAATAATTAGATTAGATTTAAAAAAAATTAAAATAATTAACATATGTTATTTTCAAACACAAAGTTAACAATGGTTTTTTAATATTCAAAATATATGTTTTACATGGATATACGTTATATTTAAGTCGTGTCAAGCTTTATAATATTTCAAAAAAACAACCAATTATATATAATTCATATATAAGCCATTTCATGTATAAGCCTTAACTGTGTATTTAGGTACCTACCTAACAGCTAATACTTTAAACATGATGAATAATTCCTATTATATAAATATGTATTCTTATTATGCCATAATATTGTTGTTTTCAAGTTTATAGTGATGAAATAAATAAAATAAAAAAGTAAACTATTTTAGTAACAGAAAATTGGTACCTAAGTAGCTATACATTTACTATTAAAACTAACAAAAATGTTGTAGTTTTCTTACATGATTGGAAGATAATAATAACTTCTCTAAGGTCCTTTCATATAGAAATATATGTAATGGTACATCAACTAGATCCGTGTTATTCATATCAATAAAATCAATATATTCTTCATATTGATGGTTAGTACTTTTTCGACCAAAGCATGATAAAAGAGACATGATTTTCCTGGACATAAAAATATTATCTTATTAAATGTTATTGTTAATAAATATTTTACACAATATTTTGTACTTACATTTATCGGTTAAACATGATCACTAAAAAAAAAATCAAGAAAATTCGAACAGTTCAACTTGGTGGGAATCTGTTTCAAAAATGTGAATGTTTGATAACTGAAAATGATATGAACGCAAACAAAAAAAAAAGGGGGGAACTGGTTTACGAACGTTCTATAGTCTGGTTCCAAACATGCCTCCATAAAAATATTTCCACATATGTACCTAGTGGCTGAATTGGAGGCTCCAAGTGTTCCAGTAATGATAACAAATATATTTAGATAGGTACCTATCAGCGTTATACTGGTTATTAGCTAATAGATAGATTACTTATTTAATAGTTCGGTTTGTGATTATTCATACCTACATATTTAGTTTTTTACATTCTTTCGTCGATTCAAAGTACTACTCATTAGGCACCTTTCTGATTTTAGATTCCGAGAGCATTGATGAATGTATTGGTTTTATATGGTGTAAATATTTGAGATATTTTGTTAACTACTCCTTTTTGGAGCATTGAAAAACCATTAATATTGAGCAGTGTCTATTTAACTATGAGGGTTATTTTTGGTAGAAAATTGGATCTAATCATCTTTTAAAAATAATCGGGAATAATTAAAAACAATTTTTGAAAAATAAAAATATTTATCTAGCTAGGTACGCAATAATAGTTTGAAAAATACGATTTTATTATTTTGTTTTTAAAACTCGTAAATGATTTACCGTAGATAGGTACTTTAAAATATGTTCACCAAATAAGTAATTTTTTAACTTGGTCATTATAGAAATTAAAAAACATCGAAAATACACAGATAGTTAAAAATTGTATTCGCATGTGTTTTCTCCGTGTCACTAACACATGACATAGCTTACGTTTATCCTATCAAATTTTGTATTTTTAGCTTAAATATTTAACTGAATTGATCTATTATCATATTTACAAGCAAGAACATATTAACATAATTATTAATGTTCTTCCGTTGGTTTTTTACCATATTTTAATTCTTAAGGAAATTATGTAGGTATGTAAAATATTAAAACTTAAAAAATAATTTTAAGTTTATCAATAATTTATAAATATTTGTACTGTTAAAACACTTTAAAGAATAGTTTTAAATAAAATTGGATCTACAAAGTATAAATATATTAAGTAAGTAAAAATGGTTTTTTCTCAATAACGATTTTTGTCATAATTTAAAAATATTAACCAAAGAAACTTTTCACTTTTGCTTAAACTACTATTTTCTATAAGACACTTAATTAAAATTTCAAAATATTTAAATAGGTACCTACTCAACTGCCATCCTACTTAAAAGAATCGCAGTAGGTAACATATTATAATCATTAAGTAGTTATTAATTAATTAATTAATTATAAATTATAATCAATACATACCTACGTATATAATATTTAGTTGTAAATTGTTCAATAGGTATTGAAAATTTAGTAATTAGGTACTTACCATAAACTTTTAATAATATACATATATCTATATGTGTGATTACCGTGTTTATTATTAGTAAGCTTATAACAGTTGTAATTAAGGCCTGGAACTTAATACATTTGCATCTTTTTTTTTGAACGCGTTAATACAAAGCTTGTCATCACAAAAATGTCACTTATGTCATGTAAAATTCAATGAAACCATTATTATTTTGTATTTTTTTTTTTTTTGCATTTTCCGGTAATTTTTTTCTAATTATGGTACCTATTTGTAGATCTATTTGCATTTTTTACATTTTTCTTTTATATTGTTTTGATAAAACTAAATATATGAAAAAACTAACGTATTGTACATTCCAATCCTTCAATTATTTTTCTAAAAATATCGATTTATTTTTTGTAATTATTTTGCATTACTGACATTATTTCTTATCTCTATTTTAAATTTAATTTAGGTTCTGTAATCTGTAATAAAAACATATTTAATGTATAAAAAAAATATTAGCGTTGTTTAAATTTAGATGAATAAAATAATAAATTAATGATTAAAAAATATTAATTTAAAAACTATGGTTTTTGATGATTTATTACTAAAAAACGTAATTTTTGAAAATGTGTTATTTTTTGATGTTTTTAGGTAATTTTTAAAATAATTTTTAAGTATTTAAAGTCATTTTAATACTTTTTTGTGTGCATTTTTTAAAGATTTGTAGTTCATAAAGTTTCGGACCCTGGTTATAACCTACCAATTGGATCTATTGGTAGATACATAAGTATTAAGTAGGTATCTAATATAAATATTGGCTACATTCATAGTTGAGTGAAACAGTATAAATAGGACTGTTAATTTCAAAAAAATTAAACTGCTATAAATAAGTACCTATTTATGCGACAGTTTATTTTAGTTTTGAAAGAATTTTAACTTAAAAATTGGTACTTATTATTTATACTATATATAGTATAATTAATTATACAAAACCTATGGAACCTACCTACTTAAAATAACTTGTTATAAAGTGAAGAATAATTTAAGCAAAATCAAAAATTTTAAAGATTGTTTAAATAGATAGATACTAGCCAATAAGCCGTTAAAAATTAAATAGGTACCTACTTACTAATATTATAGACTATTTTATTGTATGATAGGTAGTGATTTCATTGAAATATTGTTAGACACCCGCGGAGATAATTAAAAAAAAAAAAATGATAAATCTATCAACATTTGATAGATACAAGATCGAGAAATAGTAAAGTGAATTTTCATATTTACATAAGGTAATTTATTAACTGTCATTACGTATTCATACATTGATACATTATAATAAAGATATCAGATGTATGTAATCAATATATAACAGGTTTGCCTAGAGTTTCAACGTTTTTTGTATACATAATATATGTAAAAATATTTTTTATTTTTTATGGGCTATTTTGTATTGTTTACTAATATCTATATTTAATACAAGTTTTTTCTTACCTGACGACAGTAATTATTTCGATAAAGAAGTACGCATTGATAATATTAAATTCGTGAAACAAAAATTACCTTGAAAAATAAAAATAAGAATTACATGAAACTGCAGTAATTTATTGTGTAAGTAAACAGTAATTAATAATTATTGTTTTGGAAATAATTTGAATAATTTTTTCCACGCTTGAGAGTATATCTTAACGATAAAGATGCAGACGAGGTGAAACAAGATTTGAACGCATGTATGGGAAAATGTAACAATGAAGTGAATCTTCAATAACAATATAAGAAATAATTTTAATTATTATGTAGGTATATTAACTCCATATACAATTCACTTATATTTATATTGGTCTTGGCAAATTGTTTATGTACCTAAAATATACTTAATCTAACCTATTTTAATACCTACCATAGCAGCGTGAATTATTAAATGCAAAATATTTTCATTTATTTTTTGACACTCACCCTATGACAAGATTGAAATATGGTAAAATATTAATATGTACATAAATTATAATAATAATGAACATTTATAACTGTATTTCGTCTTCCTATGCACCTATACCCACAAACCCATTTACCCATCTAGACATATACTGAGTCTTGACTCTTGAGACCTATGTCTCAACAAATTACATTCGCACTACTGTTGCATGCATTTTTAAGAAACATTAGATACCTCTAATATATTTCCATAGATATGTACTTGAATTGTCTTCAACCAGAAAGAGTTACCAGTTTAAACTATAAACTTGAACGTCACAATCTTTAATAATATTATCATATTGCTGTTAACATAATATTTATAAGATAATTTTTCGATAGAAATTTTCGAAAGGTACTGGATATTTTTTGATTCAGATTGCACGTGGATTTAACTTTAAATGCCACCGGATTTATTTATACATGGTTATGTCAATAATTTCTAAACACTAAAAAAATATTATTTGTATAATATTTGTTCTCGAATAATGTGTAATGAATTAAATATCAATTTTCAATACCTATTCAAAATATAAATATAATTTAGGATAAGGAAATGTATATTTTCATGTATCGCAATCTGTTAAAATTGAAGTCAATTTAATTCATAATTTATTTATTTATACACCTTAAAACTAATGTTATAAATATTATGTATAATTCATATGACAATTTTCATCATTATTCAATGTTCTTAAAAAAAAAAAAAATTTACAATGAACTGATACTAACACTAAAAAATTAAACACTTTTTGTTTATTTATAACTTAGGTGGTAGTTTTTTTTTTTTTTTATGAAATTAATTTCTCTTAGTAGAACCTGGACTGGATTGACTTACAGCAATACTTTCAGTTTCTTTTCCAACCCAGTATTCTCCACCATTCTTGGCGACTGTGTATCTAGAAAAAGGATAAATATAAATTATCATATTATAAGTTGTAATTATGTATAATAATAATACAAAAATTATATTTCAGAAATAAATTCGTGAAAATTTAATTGAATAATATATTTTAAAAATATAATTTTATATGATATCAATAATCAATTTATTATAGTCAATAATAATTCATAGTTGAAAATTCAAATTTAAATTTGATCCCTAAGATTATATTTATTAAGTCTTTATATATTTAATTTTTAAATCATTTATACAAATTTAATTTGAATTTGAAAAAGATAAAAATAACTAATTTTAAAACAGAAATACATAAAAAAAAATATAACTGTGACACAGCAAGTATTGTATTTTTTAACGTGTATAAATTTGGTTTATTAATCATGACAGGTAAAGGATTTCTTTTTTACGCAAAACTGTTTTTGTATACGATATTATAATGATGTACTAAGTCTAACTAATTTCTGACGATAGGTTTAAGATGAGACCAGTAAACCAATTGTAATAACTTTTAATTTAAACCATTTTAAATTTATATTTAAATATATTATTAAAAATTTTCTCAACATTTCATTAACTCTCCCTATATCGAATCCTTTAAAAAGTGAGTATATGTAGTGTTTTTAGTAGTGATTTAATAGTTAAAACTATGTTGAAACATTTTAATATTTTGTGTAAAGAATTTGCTACTTTATGGTCTTTCATTTATTTTTCAGTAAATTAATTATTAGGCGCCTCTTTATTTATTATTTAGTTACCTAATAATTTTAATAATAATCTAAATTGAAGGCTGTTTAAAAAATTTCTTCTTTAACATATTATTAAAATAAGCGATATTCGATAATAAAAGCATTGACTATTTTAACAATTAACTTAATCAGTAGTTACCTAATCAATAGAATTTTTTTTTTTTAAATACTCGTACGTTTATATAGGTAATAATAATAATATGGAAATAAAATTTATTTAAATTATTATTATTTATTATTGTTATATCGTTGGTATACTAACTTCATATATCTTTGTTAAGTATAATATAACCTAATGGTGTTGAAATATTTGATTGCAATATGTTTGTTAAATATTATTTATAGGAAAAAAAATGATTTCATATTTCTACAGTTTAAAAATGCTAATGAGAAATACTATAGTAAATACTTAACAGTTTTGATTTTATAATTTAAACCTAGAAAGAATCTAGCTTTAGCTCCATTTACAATAGTTACACGTTTAACAGATGATTAAATCATAAACGTTTAAATTCAAACTGAAAAATGTCACACGCATTATTAAAATATTGAGATTAAATTAGGTAAACAATAAATGGTACTTTTATTTTAATTACGGAGTGTGACAAATTCGAAAAATGTGACGTATTGATTGAGTAAATTAGTAAAATATAAATCAATACAATTGCAATAAAAAAAAAGAGTAAGAATTAAAATTTTTAAAGATTAAACAAATTTACATCAGCCATAGGTCGTAACAAATAACAATCAAAAATTTACTGGTACCACTTAAATAGAAAATGACCTTGATAAATAAATGTATACAGAATCCAATATCATATTCTATTATTAAAAATTAGATAAATATAAGGAACTTCCTAAGAAATATATTTTATATTATATTTATCAGGTATCTATCTAACTATAAATTATTTTAATAATCTATAATTGATTTTGTTTACAGCATGTAGTTGTTGACTGTAAGGTATTGGGAATGGGAAGTAGCTTATAAATAATAAGTAATAGGTATACACATATAAGTAGGTACTTGCTTATACGTATTTTCAACTTCCTTACATTACATTCACTACTAAATCGGTTCTTAGATTGTATTTTAGATGTATTAACGACCTTGAAATATAGCTGTATCCAAAAAATTGGCATATTATGTAAACTGTTAGTGTATAGTAATTTATATGCATTTAAGTTGGATTGGAAAATCCCGCGAATTTATACAAAATACGTTTTACGTTTTCTCTTTTAAGGTATATTATAATTTACTTTTAACTATTGAAATGTATATTAAGGTATATTACTAGTTACTACTATTAATTAACATTGTCTACTTGTGCAGCAATAATACATGTTATAATTATATTTCTGAAAAATCTCTAAACCAGTCAAGTACTCAAGTCAACTACGTATTTTTAAACTAAATTGAGAAATAAACCGGTCTTAACCTTCCACACATAATCAGTGCCGAATTTAAAATTTTATTTCCAATTATTCGTAGCATTATTATTTATATAAATTACATAGGTATAATTGGTAAGAATGATGTGTATCAATGTTCTACCATGTTTGTTACGAATAAAAAAAACTATACATCTAATACATTCACTCAAACTAGTAAGAATTATATATTTTTATAGTATAGGTTTTAATTATTCTATACAAAATACCAACCTACTTATAAAATCATAATAGAAAAGTATAAGGCATATACAATAAGGGCGCCCAAATGAGGGAACCGAATGTGCTCATGTTCTTCATAGCTTTTTAGTAAAGAAAAATACGCCCGTAAAGCACACATTTTTATAATTTGTTTTCTCCAATTAAGGAAATCATTGTTTACAAAACAGTAGTTAAATATTAAAAAATAAAAACTTTAAAAAAATCATCGTTGCTCTTGTAGTTTTATAATATATAATGAAAATATAGTAGATAATATAATATCGTACATTTTTATTTATTTTCGTTTGTAATAACTTATACGCACAGTCATAATATAGAAATCAAAAACAGTATATTGTATTGTTAAATATATAATGTATAAGTACATTGTCCTTTTTCTCCTAACTAGTGAAAATTTCTGCGGGCGCCCCTGGCCTAAATTAATAATATTAACTATAGTTAAAGTTAAAAAAAAACTTAATTTGTTCCTAATAAAAACATTATTTGAATTTAATAATTTCACAATTTATCAATGACTAGCACTGTTATGATTAATAAGCAAAACGGCTAAAGATAAATTTTGTATTTTTGTAGAATGCTAATACTATGAGTGAAATATTTTTAATAAAATTACATATGGCAGTGTAATTTTGTTTAAACGTTTAAATGAATAAATTGTGGAGTAGGTACCAAAGAGCCACTGACTTCTATTTTCGAGTGCAATACACAAATACAATACAATAATCAATGCGTATAATAGGAATAATGTATTATATTTGCGTATTAATTGTGTTATACTCTCTACAAACACCGAATAGGTACGAATTCAGAGAATTGTATACTATGTTTGCTGCAGCATGAAATACCTATATAGTATATAAGTAGAGGTGTGATTGTATAAATATTTCAGAAAAAAAGTTTTTTAGTAAATTTCATGGTTTTTAAATAGTTTTCAGTTAAATAATTATATTTATTTTATTGCATTCAATCTTATTACCTATGTTTGATATAAGTACAATAGTCGCCGCTTATTGGACTCCCGGTTAATTGACTCATTCGCCTATTAGACTCAAAATGGATGGTCCCGATTCGCACATATACTAACACACAACAAAAAATTCGTCTATTTAACTCACACGCCGGTTAATAGAATCATTTGAAAATTAGATAAATAAATAAAATATGTACATACATTGAACAAACGTGTTATAAATAAGTCGGTACCGGTATTATGCTTTTATCGCGGAGATAAAATAAATTACGATAAACCAAGCTGTCGTCAATGTCAATTAGTACGACAGGTAATGTATGAATAGACGATTTTTATTTTATTAATTATGTATATATTTTATTAATTTTATTTTATTTAACTACTTTATTTTTAATTGCGTATAAGCTAGATTTTTATACATAAATACCTCGAATCTCAATACATATTTTTAAGTAAATACGTTTTTAAATTTAAGCATTTTCAACATTTTTTGAGTTATTTGCCTTATTGACTCATTCGGTTAATCGACTCAAATTGTCGGATCCCAAAGTGAGTCCAATAAGCGGCGACTACTGTACTTAAAACCTATTTTGTTTTTCTCTATGTATGAATTGTTAACGATGATGTTTTATAATTAACATTTTTATATCTTCCTTAGATTTTGATAATAAAATTAATCTGCTATTACTTAAAAGATGTTTAATTAATAATCTGGATCATTAACTTTGTAATATGCTATTCTTATTTTATAATTCTAATTTTTTTTTCAATCTAAATAAAATATAGGTGTGTGTAACATCCTGGTATAATTCCATAATGGTATATATATATATCATATATATATATCATTAATTAAAATGTAATCAATATATTAACGTGTATAATCTTAGCTGTTCTTAATACAAATTATATAATAAAATTACTTTATTATTTTATTTCAAATCTTAAGTTTTTTTAGTAAATCAAAAATAAAAGTAACCAACATAAATTAATGTAGACACTTTCTAAATATATGACACGTTAAAAAAAAAATGATAAAATATCTAGACAACCTTGAAGATTGCAACACAACACTTAAATGGTTAAAACCTAAATCGTTAACAAACGTTTTAATTAATTAAGTTCAATGTATAGATTTGTTTCGTTTCCTTATTGTACTGTTTGAAAATAATTGTCATATTGTTATTCATTAGTTCAACCATATCTCAGCTGAGTACATTTTTTATATTTCATATGATATTTTAAGAATATACTCACTATTGTCATTATCAATTTTATTATGTTAATTCTTAATGAGTATTGAAATATTGTCACTTATAGGTATGTCACATGTCTTTGTTGACAAGGTGCAATAATAGCTCTTCGAGAATTCACTTTCGTAATTTGATCACTTTAATGGTTATGCATAATGAATTAAAAACGTTTTAAATCTTGTAATGATTACGGTTAGGGACACGCACTATTACATAACATTTGTATGCAAATGATTATTAAAATGTATGTCAACGATACTTTTTGAAGAAATATTTTATACCTACATTAAAGTAAGTATGTTTGACATTTGTCACATTATAATATTGTATCGTGTTTAATGTTGATGAATAGTTTACTATTCATAAATACCGGTTTAATTATAATATATACATACACTGTATCATTATTATTTCTTTTTGAAAACTCGTTAAACTACAACTACTTTTAATAAATATATGTCATTATTGTTTCTAAAAGAACATTGCCCATTGCTTATTTTGTAATAATTAAACTTGAACTATATTATAATATTTTTTAATGTATAATACTTACTTAAATTTGAAACTCTGCAAATCAAGAGCTTTTGGTGCGGTCCATGTGAGAACTACTCTTGATTTTTCGACTGAGTTTGCGTGAGTTACGGTATTCTATGAAAATTTTAAAATAATAATTTACTTTAGACGTTTCATTGAATAAAACGTAATGGTTGTATTAATTATATAACTTCATGTCGTATACTTTGTTTAATCAACCAAATAGTTTATTATCCTAAATTATATTGTTATAAAAATAAATAAACATAGTATTAAAATTTATTTATAGGTAGTATGCACAATTGTTTGAAATATAATATTATTCATCAATATAAATGGCGAGTCATATGATATAATTATCCGATCACTGTAAGATACGTTTGAATTGTATTAGTTATAAATATATTATACAATTTATTAATACACTCAAAAGTTTTCATCAAGCCTTATAGGGCTTAATAATTAGTAAAAACTACATGGATGTATATAAACCTATATTTTTTTAATGTTGTCTTTAATAATTTATTTTATGTTGTGTACTCACGTTGGATGGTCCATCGGGGCAACTGAGAAGCTTCCATTTGCCTTTGAACTCGCTATTGTTCTTAGATGCGGGCAGGGGAGAGAACGAACCTATGGGCTTGTCATGACTGTCTCTAGCTTGGACTATGAAGCCTTTAAATTTAGAAAAATCTTTGGAGGCGAGCGTCAGCGTTATCGATTCACCACTTTTTACGGACTTGCGGTTGGGCGTTAAAGTGTACGGCGAGTCTTTGGTCTGAGCGGGAGCTCCGTGCTGGGGCATTAAGTCACTGCATACTTCTAAAGGTGCGCCTTCAGAATAAGCTAAGGCAGTCTTCAAGTAACCAAATGCAGCTACCGACACCAACAGCAGAGCTAATTTTGCATTTACTACCATCATCTTGACTGTGAAATGAATGAAAACATCGGTTACTAATTATTTTGTTTAAATGTATAATTTTAAATTATTTTAAATATCCACATAGTTATAGGAAAATTAAATTCAATTAAAATGTGTATTTCTAAAATACTAATAACAATAATAATGTGAGAGGACAACATGTACAATATTTTCTGACTTCTCCATATTATATACTTATACAGCTATACATCTGTTGTATAGGTATAAACCAAATTCTTAATAAATTGTATACAGATTACAGGCCGAGTGCATACATGCATTAAATGGCGACTCGACCTATAACATATTATATTTCAGACAGTATTTAGATGGGCGTATAACATTTATAATAATTTATACTTCTTTATTTTTTTACATTGGCATTTAATAAATAATAATCGTAATATGTCCTCAGTTTACTGTTGTTTCTATTGTTATACATAATTAATTCAGAAATTATAAAAACTATAAAATTGTTATAAAGTATTAGAAATTACTTTATGAAATCGTGAGCTAGTAACATTTTTTTTTTAAATTTATAAGAGAATATTTTGTTTATTTTTATTTTTCATAAGAATATAGTGTAATTTAATAATAATAAAAAAACGGTATTTTATTTGCATAAATTAATTCTAATTAAAAAAAACATTTAAGTATTTGTGAAATCGATTAGAATATGACCATATAATATATTGTTATTTAATTTCTTAAGTACATTTATTGATAGAGAATATTCGAATAATTTTAAAACGCAAATAATAAATTACAACACTTTTTTAAAATTCTTAATTGAATCTCTAAATTAAAAATCTGAAAATTCTTAGTAAAATAAGCTGAAAAAATAAGTTTTTTAAATTAACAACTGTGTGGCTTGAACGGAAAGATCGTCTAGCGACGGAACTCTATCAAAAATATATAATATAAATTATATTTATTCTATAGTTATTAAATATGTAATTATTTAAATTGAAATATTTCTCATAAATCCATAAAAATTGTAAAATCTAATTTGCTATAACTTACTGACTATTATTAAACGTAACCAATATACAAAAATTAAATACCTACATTGAATATTTGTCATAGAAACAAATTACATTATAATATTATATTATATTAAAAATATAATTTATATATGTAGTAGATATTTATGCAAATAATGGAGTAAAAATAATTAAATTAAAGTAATTATTTAATATATTATGTTACTTACTTGTTGAATATATCGAATTACGAGTCAAATGTGGAAGTATGAGCAGAGCACACGATGTCAAGTTGAGTACTGCAGTATTCGATGATACCTTTGTCCAGTACAACATATAAAGACTATTACAACACAAAGAATACACATTCATAATTACGGAAAGAAAGGGAACTTAACCTTCGTGGAGATTGTTTAATAATATACTCATTATTGATTTATACCTGTCTTGTACGTAATATTCAAACGAACGTCTTGAATAACTCGTTATTTTATAGTGTTCCCACCTAAGCTCTTGTACAGACACAAAGTTATTATTCGTCTTCATATTATGTTTTAACCTCCTTTGTTAGTCATTATACCAGATTCGGATGAATAACGGCTGTATTAAAAAAAAAGTCATTTGCAATGGCATATGACCTACTATTATAGGTATATTTTTATAATTATTATTTACTGTTTCTTTTTTTTTTTTTCAGACAAATTAAAATAATTTTGTAATTATTTGGTAGGTCATAGGACGCAACTAGATATTAAATATATTAGAAGCTTATGATCGTTGTAGAAAATTTTACTTTATTACAGAGGTCTTATCATTTGTAATTACTAATTACATATTTATAAACATTGCACTAGACATCTAACAATATATTTCAATAGTAATAAATAGAGCTAGTATTTTAATGACCTAAAAATACACATAAATGTATTAAAAAAAAATGCAAAAATGACCTTAACACTCTAAAAAATGAACAAAAAATGTACTTAGATAAGGAAAATAAAATTCAATTTAAAATAATAATTATTATTTATTCATTTTTTATATTATATAAAATACTGAAAATAGGTAAAAATTTATTTTGTAACAAATATAATCTAATTTGAGTTGAAAATTAACTTTAATACTTTTTCAATATCAATGGACTGGAGTAGGTAATTAGGATTACCTATACAACACATATAAAAAAAATCTTAATATAAACAAAAATGAGTTTATTACACAAAATTAACGTAATATTTGTAAAAAATGACCTTAAAAATGCAATAAAATGCATTCAACACAGAAAATGCAAAATAAGAATTATACTTTTTAAATTGTTATATCACAAAACAAATTTAGTTTTTGGTTTGAACTGTATAGCACTTAAAAAAAAATGCGAAATTCATCAAAATTATAGTTCTAGTAATGATATATATTATATCGGTATTGGACAATTTTAACCTTAAATTCAATGGTTAATTTAATTTATAACTCTACTATTAGTTTTATTTTATTCATAATATGCTACCTAATAATTATTATTTTTTGATGCAATTGATTAATATACTCGTATCATATACATATAAATAATATTATAATGGGTTTAAGAAAATTACTGTTATTATAATGATTTTTTTTTTTTTTAATTAGTTTTTATAAAACATTTTCTGAAGAAGTAAAATTAGTTTACATAAATATAAAATTCATTTGATTTTCATTAGGGTTTATAGAGGAATACTTCATTGAAAATTAATGTGAACAATTTGATAAAAATTTTATCATGCTCATTAAAAAAAAAAAAAAAATGATAATTTTTGAATAAATTGGATCACTAAGAAAATTTTTTTATTACAATGATAATTTTTAATTGTTTTTCACAGGCTAGTTTTTTTTGACGATGAGAACATTGGGCAATGGAGTTTATATAGTCTCATTTACAAATTAAATTTAGCAGTATAAAGTACTTATATATAATATGTTGTAGCTGCATTATTTTAGTGTGATATTTCAATATATTTTATTTAATTATCAGAATAATTATTTCGTTGGTATTAATAAGAATTTATATTAATTATTATGTAAATATACATAGGTAATTAAAATTTTCTACATTTTGCAATTTTTAATTACTTTATATATTTTCAATAAATTTATATGAAAATATAATACATACTAACAAATATATTATATGTATGGTAGCAAGCTGTATGAGTTCTAACTTTGTATTATGCTTTAGAATAAAAATAACAATAACTTAAAGTAATACACTTTACATGGACAAGTTTTATAACTTGTGTTTACACCAACATATATACGCAGATCTATGACTTATTTTAATATAAATATTCATAGTTAATAATATTAATCCATATAACCATATGTATATTTGACTATAGCTTCAATTCAATTAATTAATTAATTAAAAATAATCTATAAATAATATATTTTTTTAATAATTATAATAATAAATTATAAATAATAATATGATAATAAAAGTTATAACCTCACAAAGTATTTCATATTCTATTGGTGTTTTTTTATTCTTAAAACACTAACCTATTAATCACTAATAAAAAAGTCATATTATACATATTATTTAATTTTAGTTTCCGAGCTAAGTAATTAATGTATTGGTTTTACGTGTTAGTGGATTTTTATTTTGTTTGTCATAATATATACTTTTTTATAAAAAAAAAATGCTTCAATTTTCAACTTTGAAGCTTGTTTCTGGTATATATAGTTAAATCTAGATTTCGAGTAATCAACAATAAAAATTCACATTAATTTTCAAAAAAATCTAAAAAAATCTAAAAAGATAACACAAAAAATGAAAATATTTATGTAACATCTGTTTTTTAAAAAATTAATTTTTTTTTTGTTTTATTGAAATTTAAACTATAATAACAATAAGAGAATACATTTTCTAATTATTATGTAATTTTTAAAAGATCTTAAATATTTATTTTTTCGCTGCTTAGGCATAAATATTTTAAATTACTTACTTTTTTCAAAAATTCAAACCGATGTTTTTTCCTAGTAAAAATCTTAAAAATATAATAAAAGGTTTTTTATAAGTTATTCTTATAGTAACTTAAAAATATCGAATAGACACAGTTATTTTTAAAGACATTTTAAGTTAAAATTATATTGACATTAACTTGTCAATATAATAGTCTTATAGTTATGCTATTAAATTAAAAAATATCCTTAGAAATTATAACTGATATAGAGGCTCTGAGTCTCAGAATTATTATTCTTATAAAATAATTATTCATCATTAAATTTTAACTAAAAACTTCCATTACAAATTACAGTAAACGGTGTATAATTTGTGTTAATTTCAATTGTTTTCATTATACATGCATTAGTATTGTAAATTATTAAACTTGATTTATGACAAACAGTTATACCTACCTATATTTTTTTTCCAAAAAATTTCTAATCGCCGTAATAATTGAAAATTGTACTACCTAATATAATAATTATATTGAATTAAATTTAACACATTTTCTGATAGTTGTATACGTAAATCTTATATAATGCGTAGGATATCATTATTTTTTTTTTTTACAGGTCGGTCATGTAAAAAAATCAACTTTTGTGACCCAAAAAATGATAAACAGAAACTGGATTTTTTAAATGTCTTACACGAGAATATATATGAAATTAACTATATGGACACAATATATTCCATACTATATTGTATTATATTTTAACGAATGAACAAACTACTAACACGTAAAAATTATTGTCCAACGTAAACACAATTATAATTATTTAATGATGTGTTAAATATTTTGACTTTTAGTATAGGATGTAATTATATTAATATCTTAGTAGGTAACTACTAACTATTTATCTATTAAAATACAAAAAAAATCGTCTTGCTCTTATTTTATTATTATAGTATATTCCAATAATAAAAACGAACATTATTCAAATATTACAATTTACTTAATGTTAGCAACAATAATTTTACTCGTCATATTTAAATAAAATTATAAATTATAATGTCATAATATTGTCTCTGTATTTAAATGAATTTTAATGTATACGAATGAAATATTATTAATTAAATGAATGATATTCATATCTTATTAATTTTCATTTCCTAGGAAAAAACCTTCTTTATTAATTTATATTAAATAGTTATTTATAGTTTAACACACAAAATAATATTATGTAATACAGTATTTTTAAATTATAACAAAAACTATATTTATTCGACTATACGTCAATAAGTAATATTATATACGTTTGGTAGGTTGAGGTACCTAATCTGCATAGTATATATTATATATTTATAAACTTTATAATATAGAAGTGATAAATATTGTACATAATAAATATATATACATAAAATTAACTAATTAAAACTAATTAAAATATCAGTTATTTTTTTAAATATATCAAATGCATACTCCAAAATTTTAACACAAACACTGATAATGTTTTTTTCTAACTATAATAATGTAAATATTTCCCACCTTCTACTTAAATTTTATAAATAATTAGTAGGTTTATAAAAAATTAATTTGAAAAAATTTACTATAAAAATTTAAGTAAAAAAAGTAAAACATGTTAGATATTAAATCATAAAAATAATACCTATATTATTGTGGTTAATAAAAAACTTAGTAAGTAATTAAAATTGTTAAACTAACATGTAACTATTAACTTTGGAGTTTCATCAATTACTTATATTACTATATTAAAATAGTTTTAATATTTTATTTTCTATAAATGTTTTAAATATATATATATATATTAAAATCGCTCAAAAAGATCACAAAATGATCGAATTTAATAAAAAATAAAATACCTACACATTTAAAAAAAAATACGTATACATTTTTCTCAGATCTCTAAATTAGGTAATTAACTCTAGACAAATATAGAGTTATATACTACTATAGGTATAGGATCAGTGTTGGAGTGTATTTTAAACAAATGGTTTTGTTTAAAAAATTTAATACATACAAGTTTATTAAAACGTTTAAAAATGTAAATAAAATTGCTCATATTTTTATGAAATATACATTTTATTTGCAGAAAACAGTATCATAGTGTGTACAATCATGGTGTAGATAATATAAGTATGATGTTACTTTATAACGTATATTAATCTATTAAACTTGTAATAAAGTGTTGTTATAATATATATATATATATATAAATTATTTAAAACATCACAAAATAAACAAAGTTTTAAATTAAAAAAACGTTTGTTTCGTATTATTTAAAAAAAAAATTTTTTATCCGACTCGACTGAAATCCTATTGACATATTGTACCCTGCACTACAACAATAATAGTTTATCGTTTAATATTTAAAAAAAAAAAAAAAAATACCTAAAGTATTTATATAATATATTATATAAACATAATATGTAATAATCTACAATAAGT